TTAATATTTGATTAACAATCAAACAGTGATGCAAAAAAGATAGGTATTTGCAAAAAAAAAAAAAAAAAGGACGAGAGAATCCAGGTATACCAATACAATAGGTAGCTCAAAATCTCCAAAGTTCTTAAGAAAAGAAGCTTTTAATGTGCTATGCTCTTTACCACTGATGAAACCTGTTTCTAATTAATATTAACATTTTAAAAAATACATTATATTAATCACACATTTCATAAAATTACCATCATCTAATTACAGAAGTGTCATTTATGACACTAGTTTTAAATAGAATAGGGTTTTGCACCTAACATTAGATCCAAACTGTGGTATATTGGAAAAATCCTTCCCAACATTACCTTATTTACCATTTAAGTATCGAATGAACTCTGAGCACTTATAAGTAAGGGTATATTTAATAAATATATAATATTTATTTTAAAATAGGGGTTCTCTGAAACATAGCACTTCACATACACTTTTTTTTTTCCCTGAATGACCTTACTAAGGAATCAACACAGATTAACCAAACAGCTCAAGCTAACTAAAACACTATGGGAAGCTTGTAATAAAGATATTCTTTTTAAATTTAGTTCTATTTTTGGTTATGAAAAATTTAAAAAATGTGATACTGCAGAATCTTTCTTCTTTCATCTTCTCTCTATTATCTTTGAACTGTAGCATCATGTTGCATTTGCAACTAGAGTACCTACTTGACTGCTGTCAGAGGAACTAAATGTTCATCTTCACAGGTTGACAAAATAAAACCCATCTATAAACGCTGGGAATTAAAGTTTATGACCATGTCATAGGAAATCCAGATAATTACGGTATTCAAATCGGCTACTGATAGGATGCATCTCGAGTGCCTGTTTTTGTCAGAAATAAGCAGGGTTAGGAAGGCATAATTGTAATTGCCCCTGGGCTTCCATGCAGGTTTCAATAAAAACCTAAAACTATTCTGGCCTACTTGGGTTTTGTATAAAAATTGGGTAATGTGCATACTGAAACTATGACTATACTACCAATATGAATAATAGAGCAAGATGTTAACTAGATAATGAAACTACCCAGAAATAATACTGAAGACCAGTTTTGGAGAGAATACAAATCTCATGCCTGAGGGCTTAAAGGCAGTCCATAACCATCCACATTTGGGAAATAATTCTGTGAGATTAATGTGGTGGTTCTTGAACCTTTTCTAGGGTGTCCAATTGCTGCCTACAGCTAAAGAAAACATACTGGACTGGAGTAATTGTAAGTCTAGCAGAGCGCAACTGTTACTATGCTCTTAAATGAGGTCTTTGACTTCAAATATTTTCTGCATAAAGTTATTAACACCATGCTCTACGAAGTCAACACTATGATTGGTCTTCAAGAAAAGCTCAAGTAGTGTTCTATCAGAGACTTATTTTCATGAAGAATATGCACTCTATGTTCAAAGAATTTACATCTTCATTCTCATTCAGTTTTTCCCAACTGCGTCATCCTCTAAGAATCAACCTTCCACAAAAAGTAATAACTGTTTTTACCTTTTATGTTCTTTCTGCTCAAAGTTCTACTCAAATGATTGACAACATAAAACTGTGATCTTCTCACATCCTATATTAAGAGGAGATCTCTCCCAAGTGCTGTATTTTAGTTTCTATATGCTATGGACAAACATAGGTGAGTCTAAAAAAAATCTTTGTCAGATAAAAAACAACCACATATACAGAGGGAAAATGTAAAGGAGCTAAACTGAGGAAACTAGGCCTATCCCCATTAAAATGAATATAAACATTACTAAGATATTATACAGGATCCTGCTTATGAGATGTTATCTCATATTCAACTCAATGTGAACTGTAATTGAAACTTTCATGATTTCCACTTGGATACCCAAATCCCAGGAGCAGCCCTAGATGTAACAAACTATAGCTCAGCTTCCTGTTGTCACAAAATACAGTCCTCACAAAATTTCACATTAAGACTTTTAAAAGAGTGCCACTGATTCATCAGTACAGGTACCAACATATAAATTTATCATACTTAAAAAAGGCCTATTGTCATACGTAATAGTTTCAAGAATATTTCATTCTTAGTCTTCCAATACAGAAGATTACATTAATGATTTAAATATAAATTCCAAAAGTAACTCATTACGAACATCCCAGTGTAAAATTGAATATTCAATGTACTTCTATTAAGTTCTAGTCTGAAAAAGGCACTGTGGTAATAAGCATCCTAAAAATGCCACAAAATGGAGAGACACCTTTCAGGTGTGCTACTAATGAAATCAGGTGTGTTACCAATAAAAACCGTGTTCTAGTAGAGGATTTCTGTTTTCAGTCAAGCAGACCTTCCATGAACTTCAGAAAGGCAATTTATTTAAATAAAAACTGCAGGGTAAGGGCCTTTAATTCTTAAGTATGAGTCAGCTTTTCTGTTTCATATCTAAATGAAGATTTTATAATCAGCAAAGAAAGGAAAACCAGACTGGGGGTGCTACTTAAACTGTGAGCCCATCTGCCTTGATCCTGCAGATGATAACAAACCAAAACTGCCATTAGGTTTGATAAGTTCTGTGTGCAGCAGGATCACAGATCCTTAAATATGCAGCCTATATAACTTACGTAACTTAGCATGAAAATACACAATGGATATACCTAAAGTTCTACACCACAAAAGCTTGGGGAAGACAAAGCTTGAATATTATGTGTCTTGCTTTTTTTTTTTTAATTTAATTCAAATTGATTTAGGTACAAATTCCGGCTCAGATCCTGCACCCTGGAGCATGCAGGATGAAAGCTGCGCCTGCGTCAAGTCCCACTGCCTTCGGTACACTTGCACAGTACATAATGCAGGATTGGGGCCTGTGGGATTTTGTTGGTTCACTCAAACATGCTTGTGATGTTACTAAACTGTAATATAGCTGATTAAGCAGAGCTTGTTGAATAAACATTGCGGTATTTTATGAGCACATAATCACCGAGTATTTTGGAAGTTTGCTTTTAGCATACTTTTGTACCTTTTAAAAAGGAAGCTGGTGTTTTGCACACCATAGAGTAGACTTCTGCAGTACCATGCATTCATAAGCAAGTGCTGCTGCAAGCAACCAAAACCCTTTCCATAAAACTATTTACTTTGTTGACAACATTTTACCCTGAGAGCTAGAGACAGGCAAATATTGCCAACTGAAATCTTCTCAAAATGACATATTCCTATGTACAAGCAGATCTATCAGATACGTTTCCAAGTCGATCTCTCAGAACACCAACTGTCTTCAAGTAATATCAAGCCAAAGAAGGGAAATAATGGAGATTAGGAAGAAAATTAATTTCTTTTCATCTTACGTTACCTATTTTTGCAAGTACACCATACAAAATAAAAATATATCATAGTAAATACAGATCTTTGGCCCTATCAAATGACTTAAACATGAAGAACCATGTTGAGTTTTAGCCTTACTTAGAAGTCTCAGAATGTTAGACCTTCTAATGATATTTTAATTTATCTTGATTATTTGCATTACCTTTTTACTGAAATGACAAAAAATGGGAAATTGCTGTACTGAATACCTAGAGTTTCACAAAATGTTCAATTACTACGTACAGAAGCAAAAGGAGTCAAACAGGTATGATTCTAATGCATTGATCACTGACACCCTATTAAACTAAATAATTTGACTCAAAAGGCCTGAACCTATTTTGGTTCAGTACGGCAAGGAACTGTCAAACCTCCAGAAATTAGAATCATGTAGAACCTATTCCAAAGGTCTCGGACTCTTTAAAGTCATGGGGGTTCATCTTTATTCCTCTGAACTCTATTAAGAGTTTTGACGCTCGCTGTAGCTGAAAACCAAATAGAATTAGCATCATGGTATCCGAGATCAGTAAAGCTGTGTGTGTCAAAAGGACCAGATCTACACACAAACTGTTTTACAGGCTTGTCTTGTTTGTTTATATTCCTTCCTTCTTCCCAAAACACAAAACCAAATGAGAATGTGTTGGAGCTGGCCATAACCTAAATTTCAAATCAAATGCTATCTCATTAATCAAAGGAAAGTATACTTAATAGATGAAGTTCATTTACGCTTAATAATGTAAATTGCAGTAATTAAAAATTCTGGGTTCAAAGCTTTTAAGCAAAACAAATAAGCAAACAACACTTCTAGTAAAGTTAGAGATAACAGCAAAGAATCATAATATAATCTCTCCTTTCATTTTTGGTGTTCTTTAGAAAAGTACGATCTTTGTATTCCAGGGGTGGTCACAAGTACCAAACAGTTTGTAGTGATTTTACTTGAGCATTTAAAAACACCACTGAAAGCTTTCTTGCAGAAAACAGATTAAAAAAATAAAACAAAGGGATATCTTACGTGTTCTACTCAAAGAAAGCTCCCACTTAAGGACCCAACCAACACATAAAAAGCAATGCCAAACAAATCTGGCAACTTTTGGTTTTTATGCTGTCCCACTAAGTTTACTGTCATGTAATCACAATCTTCAGTACTAATGCCAAGAAAACACCCTGAATCTACATCCAATCCCTCACAAATAAATGAAGGGCTAGATTCAGTAATCACTGCTCTTATTATTTCTAGACAGTGCCTTTTTCTTAAAAAAAAAAGGAAAAGGAAGAGAGGATGAGAAGAGTGAGGAAGGGAAGTAAATTTATACAATTTTGAATTTCTAATGTCTTATAAATATTATCTGTTCTAGCACCCGTTGCTTTGCTTTCCTGCCCACAATTTTGTTTCTAGTTTGGGGTCCAAGAATGAATTTAGGATTTGTCCCCGAATGCCGAGATCAAGATTTTAATGAATTTACTGAACAACCCAACTCTGCAGCAGGAAGAAAAAAACATCAACGAGATCTCTGGCTTTTCATCCCAAAGTCCTTATACAACCACTGCAGTTCTCAAGCAAAAGGCTTACTGGTATCATATTACTGCCCCCCCACTACACGACGAGGCTTTTAATATTTCCATAATAAAAAAAAATAAATAAAAATTACAGTGCTTACCTTACAAATTTGAAAATAATCTGAAGTGAGCGTCTCCTGGATCTCCTCTCTGGGTGTCCCTGCAGCTCCTGCAGTCCCTCCGGGGTGCACGGAGCCACCGCCAGCCCCGCTGCCACCTCCACTGCCACCACCGCTGCTTCCACCGGGGGATGAGGCAGTTAAACCATCCAAAACTTTGCGAAAATTAAATTTCTTCATTTTGGAAAAACCTTTCGGAAGGTTTCGGGGGGAGAAAGGCTGTGTCGTAACGCATTCAGCTACATGTAGCCGAAAGAAAAAGTCTTTTAAGGGTCCTCTGAGTGAGGCAGCACTTGAGTCCCTTGTACCAAACAGAACGTCAGTATTAGGTGTAATTGATTGAAAAATACAAAGGCTTCATTTTGTCAGATGTAAAAGCTACCTGGAAAAGTCCTTTTAAAAAAAATAATAATAAAAAAAAAAATCCACAAGCGGCAGAACTAAGATATACGTTCAAACAAGGAACAATGGAACAACTGCCATCGGGTTCTCTCACAAAATCCACATTTAGCAGTGGTTAAAACCGAAAAGTAAACAAAAAATTCACGCCGGCATCCAAAACAGCGGGCTCCATCTCTCTACCTCCCCTGCCTACGGTTTGCCTTCGGCGCTGGACTATTTTTAACGAAAACCACAACGGTTGGGCTGCATTCAGTTGCCCCTTCCCCTCAAACTCTGCCCCCCCACCTCCCCCCCACTTTTTCAGTCAGGGGGATCTTTGCCTCCAAGGGGTTTGAGAGGAGCCGGTTCCCCCTCGCCCGCCGCCGCTCTCCTCACGGCTCC